TCTACTGTACAATATAAAGCGCCTTGAGGCGACTGTTGTTGTGATTTGGCGCTGTGTAAATAAAATTGAATTGAATTGAAAACAGGGCTTTACTATCCTACCCTGGAACACCACCAATTCATTGGTTCAGGTATGTGGATGACACCTGGGTGAAAATCAAATCTCAGGACGTACTACATTTCACAGATCACATTAACTCGGTGGACCGACACATCAAATTCACCAGGGAAGATATGAAAAGTGGCAGGTTAGCCTTCTTAGACTGTGAGATTTCCATCAGTAATGGGGGACATCTAAAAGCTGACATGTAAACCTACACATACAGATCAATATTTAAGGTTTGACTCTCATCATCCACTGGAGCACAAACTGGGTGTCATCAGGACGCTACAACACAGAGCGAACACCATCCCCACAGACACAGCAGCCAGGGAGGCAGAAGAACATCAAGAAGGCCCTGAGTAAATGTGGTTATCCCAGCTGGACTTTTGTCAAAGCTGGGAAGGCTCCTAAAGAAAGCTCCAGCCAATCCAGGAGAGCAGGACAACCGCTGTCCAGGCGAAAACCTGTAGTAATCCCGTACGTGTCAGGAGTATCGGAGCAACTGAGATGCATTTTTTCTAAACACCAGGTCTCTGTTGCTTTTAAACCCCAAAACACGCTGCGCCAAAAACTGGTCCACCCCAAGGATCGGGTCCCCCGACACAAACAGAGTAACATGGTGTACGCTGTTAAGTGCAGGAGGATTGGCAGGATTTATACATCGGGGAAACCAAACAACCTCTGGCTAAGAGGATGGCACAACACAGAAGAGCTACCTCGTCAGGACTCTGCAGTCTGTTTACACCTACAGGCCAGTGGACACTCTTTCAGTGATGAGGATGTTCACATCCTGGACAGGGAGGAACGCTGGTTTGAGGGCGGAGTCTTTCCCTTTCATTTATGTGAAAAGGGAAAGACCATCTCTGACTCAAGGAGGGGGCCTAAGGGTACATCTGTCACCATCTTACAATGCTGTGATTGCAGCCATTCCCCAACTGTCTGTGAAAGGTACTCATGGCCATTAATCAGTGGTTGTTGATCAATGGTCATGAGAATTTGCATAATCATGATGAATGAACTGACCTCCCAGCCCATTGTTCCTTCAGTGGGCTGGTTTCAGTCATTATGCAAATGTTCTGTTTATAAGATTGAAACCTGCAGTCAGCTGAGACAGAAAAAGTCACCTGGATGATGACAAAACGTTTCTCCCACAAAACGCTACGTCCAGATGAACAGAATCAACTTTTGGATTTTATTTACTTACCTGGATGATTGAGATGCATCAAGACACTTTACGGTACCTTCCACTTTGATTTGGGGTGTGAGGCGAGCAGCTGCCCCCTGGTAGCATCACCTGTAGCCACCACAACCTCCTGATGTCTGTCTGATGAGCGCCATCGAAGGATGGCATCCTGTCCTAACCGACCAATCAGCACACATTGGCAGAACGCTAATACAAAATGGTCCACTGTGTCCGTTCACAGAGGACAGTGTCAGAGCCCCCTGCTGTGCCGCCGATCCATATGCTTACTTAATGGTTGATGGCCCAGCTGCACCCACAGCACGCCCTCTGCTGGCTTATTCACCCAAGAGCTGCGATGAATAAAAGCATGCTCACGAGGAAGCGAGGCTGACGCCGTCACGTGGCTCACTGGTTTCTGAAGCCCTCAGGTTAACGTTTCCTCCAGCGCCATCTTGGTTGCAAACTAGCAGATGTGATGTGGAGGGGCGGATCTGACTAAAAAGACGAGTAACTAGAAGTCATTAGCCAATCAGCATGCAGATTGAAGTCACATGATCAAAATGTAAAGAATGAATTTGACTTTGTATCAAACTGTTGGCAGAGGTCAGAGTTCAGAAGGCTGGTTTCTCATACTTCTATAGAACAGGAAGTGTCGCCATCTGGTGGCCATCAGAGATAATGCAGGTTTTCCATCCTGGCTTCATTTTTACCTCCTGCGGTCATGAACATGTGCAGTCTAACTACTGATGAATCTGGTAAATGAAGAGTGTGTGTGTGTTTCAGGCTCATTGCTCTCAGCAGCAGGTACACACTCTGCAGGCTGAAAATCTGAGTCTGAGGCTCCACCTGGAGGATGCTCAGAGGCACTGCACACAGCTGGAGGACTTAGCCAGGTCTCACACACAGGTGAGTGTGTTATTTTGCAGGTATCACTGTTTAACACGCCCACCTAACTGCCTGAGGGTCTGTCTGTGTTTCAGAGCATGTCTATCCAGCAGGGGGAGCTGTTTGCACTCAGGATGGAGGTGCAGGCTCTCAGGGAGAGACAAGTGCAAAGCAGCAGACACCAGGCACAGCTGGAGGTGGAGCTTCAGCAACTGAGGGAGGAACTAAGCCAGAAGGTGCCGCTGGGACAGGTACGTGAATGTCTGCAGGTCACTCAGAGCAGAGCAGCAGGATTTCAGCCTAAACAGCCTCTGAGTCATGTGACCTGTGATCACGTCTTCATTAAATCAGCCCAGAGCTCAGGTGTGTTTCATACATGCTTTTACAGACAGGTGAGCCTGCACGCTTCATCAGGTAACCTCCCCAACAAGACAACAACATCAGTCTGAGTCTGACAATTGAACACAAACAAGCATACACTCACACACACACACACACACACACACACACACAGTCTTGTCTTGTCTCCATTCCTGCTCTGATGCAACTGGACGTGGGCTCGTATTGATCAGATATTGGTAATACTGATGATGCCCACAGATCAGACACAGAGGTGAAGCAGGGCTCTCGTCTGTCTGCAGGAAGACGTCCACAGACTTCCGGCTCAGCTCTCAGGTCCAGCAGAGGAGCGGCAGGAAGATGAATCCCGGTCTGAGGCGAGCAGGTCGGTGTTTCTTCCTGCTTTGTCACCGTGGTCATGTGACCTGCTCACACCGCAGTGAGCTAACAGCATCATCCATGCCTCACTGTGAGGACCGCTGCGACCTATTTCTACACAACGTTGTTTTCATCAGCATCAGCTTTACGAATACATTTGTACCTCAAAAAGTTTGATTACAATGGCTTCGTGGGGCTGCAGTCTGAGACTAGAGATGTGGACCCAAAACGATGCATCCCTGTGCTTGCTACAAACAGCCCGGCTTCAGGTAAGCTCGAGGCCCAGGCAGGATCCAGGCCTTGAGGCTGAAACCCGAAATTGAGCAGAACAAAGAAGTGGACACAACCACAGGAGCGCAGAAAGGCAAGAATTGGGGGAGATAAAGAAGAGAAGATGGAGGATAACGAGGTGTTGAAAGACTGTCAGCAGGCTGCAGACACACTGATGTCTTTATGCTGAACTCCTTAAAACAAGTCGACGAGAATGGGATTTGAATCGACGACGATGGGCTTAGCAGTCCATCGCCTTAACCACTTGGCCACATCGTCCCTGCACAAGCGTGTCTCTGTGGAGGACACAGCATGACTTCATGAAGACATAATGAGTCCATCTGCTGGATCGTCCTCTCCAGCTGATCCTGGAGCATCAAACACGATGTCTGCAGTTCAGATTTGGACGTCAGCCTCACGTCACGTGTCTCAGACAGCGCTCTGAGCTGTTTCATACTCACAGTACGCTGAGCGTGTGCGCAATCAGGCTTCACACAGACGAGGTGGCTGAGAGGTTAAGGCGATGGACTGCTAATCCATTGTGCTCTGCACGCGTGGGTTCGAATCCCATCCTCGTCGGCTTGAGTGAGTTTTATGGAGTTCAGCATGGAGACATCAGCGTGTCTGCATCCTGCTGAGGAAAACAACGTTGTGTAGAAATAAGTCATAAAGAAAGGACGGAAGGAAATAAAAACTTAAATCAAGTCAGAAATATAAAAATAAACTCTGGAATAAAAACAACAATAGTCTTCAGTCCTGATTTTTGTGTCTTTTGATCCTCGCAGCGAGGCGTGGATGATGCTGTCAGCTCACTGCGACATGAGAGTGAGCGGGTCACATGACCACGGTGAGACAGGAGGAAGAAAGGGGCGTGGTTAACAGCAACTCATTCAACTTTGGGGGATTTTTCTAACCTGGATGATTGACGATGCATCCAGAAATAGTAATAAATCATTAATAATTCTCTAATGACATTTAAGAAGCCACGTAGTTAACTATAAAGTGAATAAATGATGTCTAAATAAAACTACAAAAAGAGTTCATATAAATACAATCTTCCATGTGTTGTGATTGTGAAATAAAAGCTGGAATAAATCTAAAGATGTGAGCGTGTTTTCGTTCTCAGCTCACAGTTCTGATCCAAATCCAGCCCACCTCGGCTGTTCGTGTGCTTTTCATATGAATTCCTCTAGCTGACCTCTGACCTCTGACTTCTCGTCCCGTCAGGCCTAACCTCACACTGCCCAGATGCTGGCATCAGTGCTCTGGGACCATCCAGCAGACCAGGACCACCATGGCTCACAAGCACAGCCAGGAACACATGAGCAGACCGCAGGCCCGGCCGGAAGCCCGGCTGGACCGGGACCAGGTGGTGCCCTTTGAGGAGCCAGAGGAGGAGGTGCAGAGGAGTCAGAGCAGGCACAGACTCCTGCAGAACAGTCTGGTGGGTATCACAAAAACAGCTCCTTCCAACATCAAGACATCAGCTGACGACTCTCAC